TTGTGAGTAAAATCGTATACATACCTCGGGGAAACTCATTCTAGCCTCGCGTTTCTACATATAGGCTCGAATGTAATAGAGTACTTCCCAGCTCGGTATGTAATATACTATTAAAATTTAAATTCCAAATCTCGCGGACGTTATTCTCGTTACTAGTTCGTAGATTTTATTGTCTTGTCAAGTCATTTGATTTTTTCCAATTTCAAAATGAATAGTTTTAAGTTTTCAGTTATTCATTTTAAAACCGCGCTCTTGTCTCACGAGTTTATTGGAAAGGAAATGAGAGAACAACCATAGACAAACGTTACGGATTGAGCTAACACGTTTAATGCCGTAATAAATTGTGAAGTACTAGTTAACGTTCGTAACGTAACTGTAGTTTATGAAGATTGCTAGATACTGATGCAGTTCGTAACTTCGCGTACAGGATGATTGTAGTGACCTTAAATTTTTGAATTTTGAATATTGCCAACTATGTTTATTTACTAGCTACTGCTTACGAAATCTTAAAAGTAATTAATTACATGTAAGGGTTGTCTTAATAGTTAACTTTAATAGAAAGGACGACTTTTACTCCCTAGGTGGAAAAGTACAAGAGTGAATATGATGGCCATATCATATCGCACGACCGACAAATTTTGCGATACAAACAATCTAATCGAGGGAAAGAAAATGAATTAAATTTAATTTTTTTTTTTATAAATAGAAATAAAATAACTTTATTTTAAAAAAAATTGCACAAAAACAATTTAGCGGATTCAAACTCGAGCTACCAGGTGTAAATTCTGTTTACTTAACATTTATAATTGAATTGGTTTTAGATAATCTTATTAAAATTTACGATATCATTGAAAATGTAGACAAATATGTTGTATATAGTATTATATTTTTTACCGATTCTCTACCAGATTCACTAATTTTTAATTTTTTTCACTTTAATTTAAAAATATCCTGACAATTTGACAGATTTATCACTAATTTAAAAATCTGATGTGCCCAACACATGATTTTCCTATCTAGTTATTATAGGCTTTTTCCGGTTATTTTGTACAACCTATTGTAGCATCTCTATAAATGTTTAGAGGATAAACTAAATATATACATTGTCCACATACATCTACCTCGAAACATTTTTCTATAGATATTCATTGAAAACGAAAATACTGAAAAATTTAAATTTAGCACTTTTCCTACAATTTTTCCATTACGGTCCATTTTAGAAAAATCATGTATAAACAAAAATTATAGAGATAGATATCGCAAACAACTTTTAGTTCAACAATTTTCATAAAAATCAGAATTTTGCACATTTTGTCAAATTTCTCGAATACGGACCATTTCAGGAAATTTTGACATAAAACAAAAATTATAGATAATAATATTAGAAGTAACTTTTATTTGAACAATTTTCTTCTCCAAACATAAATAACAGATATAGGGGTCTATTCTGTAACAATTCCTTTATATTTAACGGCCTTTAAAAATATTTTCTTCTTTACTTCTGTCATTATTTAAACGGATCTTTAAAATACATTAGAGTACTATCTTAAAGAAATCTGTTTAAATAATGACAGAAGTAAATTAATGAATACAAATATACTTTTAAAGGCCGTTAAATATAAAGGAATTTTTACAGAATAGACCCCATTTTCCATAAAATATAAGAACGGCCTCCCATAAAGTACCCCCCAGATGTTCCGACTTTGTCCAAAATCTAATAATTTCACGTCAGGCAGAAATAAACCTTAAGTTTAAAATTTAATATTTTTTTTCTTTATCCGTTTTTGAGTTTTCTTCAAAATTCGAAATTTACACATTTTCTCAAATATCTCGAATTTAGAGAAATTATGTATAGAATAAAAATTATAGAGAATTATATTACAAACAACTTTTATTTGAACAATTTTTATAAAAAATGATTTTTTTTACATTTTGTCAAATTTCTCGAATACGGACCATTTTAGGAAAATTTTGTATAGAACAAAAATTATAGATAATTATATTAGAAGTAACTTTTATTTGAAGAATTTTCTTCTCCAAACGTAAATAACATATATTTCATAAAATATAAAAATTACCACCTATAAAGTACCCCCCCAGATGTTCCGACTCTGCCCAAAATCTAATCAGTTCATTAGACGCTGGAATAAAGCTTAAGTTTAAAATTTGGTGTTTTTCTGTGTATCGGTTCATGAGTTATGCGACATACAGACACACACACACACATACATCATCGCGAAAATAGTCAAAACGGATTCAGGGGACCTCAAAACGTAAAAATCAGTCGAAAACTCGAGGTCGAAAAAAATCATGATTCCTATACTTTCCTTATATCTGTATACAGATAGGAAAGTAAAAATATAATAGAATAGAAGGATGACAAACGTAAAGGTACATTTACATCTGACATTTATTGCATGAGATTTATGTCTGACAGTTGTTTAGTCCAGTGTAAATACACAAACATTTCTCTCGGACATATATTTTTGAGTGTTTACACTGGACTAAACAACTGTCAGGCATAAATATCATGCAATAAATGTCAGATGTAAACGTACCTTAATTCTGAAATTTGTGCATAAATCTAATGTGTGCGTGTAGAAAAAGTATAACTAAAAAAAAAACAATGAGGGAAAGTTCTTTGTATCTCATAAAAGTAATAATAATAATCTCTCCCTAATTCATCCCCTTACGAGTGAATTTTAACCACCTGAAGTCAACTGAACTTTAAGATGCCATTTCACTCACAGATGAAAACCTCTCCCACCATCATCAAAACCGTAACGCACTGCGATTTGTAATCAGGATGGCATATCTACACTAATTAAATTGCTGCTAATATGCTACTTATCAAATCCTATATAATGTTATTTTTAATGCATCCAGTTTCGAAGTTTATATATTACTTCATCTTCAGATACACTATTAACATCTACATTATTGAATCTACACCGTTTAAAGAAAAATATTTTTCCTACGACCACTTAGGAAAGTGACACATATCACACTATATAGTCCTATGGAAAGTGCCCTATATCACACGCGTATAAATAAGAATTTACTTTCCACCCGAGTGAGAATATGTTACTTTCCGCAGTAGTTGTCACAAAATGTCAAACACCTAATTTCTATTTTGATCTATGTAATGTCCATATTAATACTAAAATCGATATGATTGTTAAATTATTGAAATCGTTGTAAATTAGATCCTAGATATTTATCTTTAACAATTATTATTAAAATAATTTTAAATATATGTTTGCTCTTTATTCTGGTTAAATACATAACCGATTAGATCATTCAATTGACACAAGGGCTATTAGCTCAGGTGGTTAGGACGTCGAAATTATCAACTTTACCATTTTTCGACCGCGTTCGAATCCTGGCGGGGCAGAATTTTTTTTTGTTTTTTTTTATTTTTTTTTTTTTAGTTTTTTTTTGTTTAGAAAATATGAAAATTGAATAAATACGATTATTGTTAATTATTTTTTTAAATATATTTTAATTATTATAGTAATAATAACCTTGGTTTTACATTTTTTTGATGACATTATTTTGTGGTCGTAGGAAAAATATGGTACATCACTTGTGTGAAAAGTGATTTTCCACACTCGTAATGTAATATACTATATCTGATCGAGGTGAAATAAATTTGACATTCATTTTTGTCACAACTATGTCACTATCACAACGAAAACGCTGCATCGTGAATCGGCAGCTACTTCCCCGCCCAAACCCCCTGGAAATTGGGGTTAAAACTATTCGAAGCGAAATAAAAGGTTTTCTTTTTTAAAAATGACTTACTCATCTTTTACAGCATATAATTTAAGTGAATCCACAAAGAGCGTTTTAAAGCAGAGTTTAAGCGTTTATGTTTTATTTCTTAAGTCTTGTTACCTAATTTTCTATTGTAAGAGTCCTGATAATGGCCTAATAAGCCTAAAGCGCTAAACTAATTTTTAATTAAAGACGGGGTTGTATTAAGATAATCCCAGTTTACACACTTAAAATACCAACTAGTTTCATTTCTGAAAAATACAATAACTAACCACTGAAAATATCAGCATTACTAGAAGAAAACGTAAATATTCCTCTTCTGTGTATATTTGGCTTGACCTTTGTATCAAGTGTAGATATTTTATTGACATGTTTTGGGGGCGAAATTAGTTTTTGATATCAATTTTCTTCTAAATGTCTAATTTTAATTAAATGTGCAAATTAAGGTTTTCTTAGAAATTGTTTTTACATAAATAGGATTAAAAATTCCCATGCGTTGTAGTAGTCCATTGTTGATGTCTTTCTTACTATAAATTAAATATTAATCGAAAACAAATAAAACTTTTTTTACTATGATTGGTCAGTTATAGTTTTTATTTAAATAGCAGTACTTTTTCCATCTTTTGGGGCAGTCACAAATAATTTTTTAAAATATTGAGGGACTTAACTGGCAATTTAAATTTATTTATAGGCAAACCACATATTTTTGTTTCTCAAAGTATAAGTATATTCAAAGCTATGGCGGCTCGTGGGGTCGTTCACAGTGACAGAATATAGGTATCAGTACAAATGTATGAAAAAACTTTCAGTGTTTTAGAAAGTTTATAATATACCTTTCTAAAACACTGACAGTTTTTTACCTATATCTGTACCGGGATCTATATTCTACTGCTGTGGAACCCCCAAAATTTTGGCCACGAGCCGCCCCTTATTCAAAGTATCAATATTTGGTTTAACAAAATTAGTAGGGAAACAAAAATATTGCCAGTGACGTTACAGTAAAAAATTATCTGTAGGTTCCCTGTTAATTTTGTTAAACCAAATATTGATACTTTTGAATACACCTACCAATGTTTTTAAAAATTATTTGTGACTGTACCAGATGTGAAAAATTTTCCAAAAATTATTATTGACCGATCATGCCAAAGAGATTTTGTTTGTTTTTTAAAAATCTACTACGATCAGAATATTATCTAACTAATTTTGTAATTTTTTTTTTCTAGGTCGTCTTCATGAGCAACAATGAAGCGCACTTTCAACCGCGAAAGGTAACCTGAGGGTCGACATCGCGGAAACAGTGGTTTTCTAAAAATCCGTTCCAGGTGAACCGTCACCCGAAAACGAAGACGAGGAGGAGGACGAAGGGAAGAAGGAAAAACGGGAAGTGTAGTAGTTAGTTAGTGCGCGGCGTCAGCGGCGAAGCTATAGTGCATGTGTTGCTAGTCGCGTCCAATGGACAAGAGAAAAATGATGCCCAAACGGCCTAGGTTCGAGCCACGCGGCCCCATCTCAAACGGTCCCATGCAGACCCGGCCCCTCGTCGCTCTTTTGGACGGCCGGGACTGTTCCATCGAAATGCCCATATTGAAGGACGTGGCCACGGTGGCGTTCTGCGACGCGCAGAGTACCAGCGAAATACACGAAAAAGTGCTGAACGAGGCCGTGGGCGCGCTCATGTGGCACACCATCATCCTGACCAAGGAGGACTTGGAAAAGTTCAAGACGCTGCGGATCATTGTGCGTATAGGAAGTGGCGTGGATAATATTGACGTGAAGGCGGCTGGGGAATTGGGTATAGCGGTGTGCAATGTGCCGGGTTACGGTGTAGAAGAGGTCGCCGATACGACCATGTGTCTCATATTGAACCTCTACAGGCGGACCTATTGGTTAGCTAATATGGTCAGAGATGGAAAGAAATTCACAGGACCCGAACAGGTACGATATTTTTTTTACTCGTTTTCTGTTCAGAAAGAAATACTGACGTGCCTTGCAATAGTTAGGTCAAGCATGAGCCGTCATCTTCCATACAGGTTTCTTTTTTTTTCTCTATACCGATTGGGCTATGAAATTATCAACGGCGACCAACTACTAGACCAATCATTTCATTTATGAAGGTGCGTATAGATATAACGCGCCGGGGCCAACAACGGGCACAGGTTCGTCATATTTGTACGGTGTTGTAGATCTAAAGGTGTGTATAGATATAACGGGCTGGGCCCGTGCCAACAGCGGGCCCAGGTTCTTCAGGTTTGTACGATGTCTTATACCTACCGTGCGATGGAAAGCAAACGGGCCTACTTCGATCCTATTTGGCACGGCCCGTGGCTTTCGCTCGCGGTAGATTTACGACACCGTACAAATCTGACGAACTTTTTTTTTTTAGTTGAGGGGAAACCGCTTGGCACTAACCGCTGGGTCTATACAGTTAGTAATACCAGGCGCTACTTCGACTAAAACCCCTCGATCACCTCTACATTTCATCAGGGTGGGGACTTCTTGTTTTGGGTTTAAATATTTTTCTATTTCACCCTTTCCTTATATTCCTCCCATTTCCTGGAAGTCCCTTTCTTCCTCCTCTTTTCTTTTCATTATTTTCCTAATGTGTTCCGCTATTTTATTCCAATTTCCCTGATCTTCGATCATTTTTCCCACGTTATTTTACAAGAAATGTCTAGTTCCCTAATAATTTCCCTGTCAAGTCTCCACCTGAAGCATGAAAATACCGTGTGTTCTGGTGTGTCAGTCTCTCCGCAATACATACACTTTGAGTCATTGGCTTTCCCTATCCTGTATGTGCAGCTTCTAAATGAGCCATGTCCACTTAGAAACTGCGTTATGCAGTAGTCCGTTCCTTTGCGTTTGCATTATAGCCAGGGATATAATTTTGGAATCATCGTCTTTGTTCATTGTGCCGTTGCCTCTATGTTGTCCCTCCCATTCTTCCTGCCACATATTGTAGCCAGGGAAATAATTTTGGAATCAGCGTCTTTGTCCATTGTGCCGTTGCCTCTGTGTTGTCCCATTCTTCCTGCTACATGGCTATTGAATTATCCTTTTCTGCCCTTTTGGTTATATCTGACGAACCGGGTTGGCCTGGGCCAGGGCCGGCCCGTTTTATCTTTACGCACTTGTTTACTTGAAACGTATTTTATGTTTCTAAATATAGAGAAAGACAACTTCTGAACGAGATAGAGCAATCGCCTCGACTGTTGCATTAGAACAAGCGAGAGCACTACTAAATTTCGTCGTCTTACAAACAAAACACACTAAGTCAGAATTGATGAAAAGTCCATTCAAGTCTCTTAATATATTTTATGATACACATCAACGTGGTACCCAACCTCTATTTATGGTTGTTAGGGGAGTCATAACGAGCTAGCCTGGTAAAAATGTAAAACATTTAACGAGTTATGATTGTAATTGAACTGTCATTATTTTAAATCACATTCGGAAGTAATAATGGTGTCAAATGATTTTTTTTAATTTTAGGTTGAAAAACGTAATAAATTGCAGTATAACATAAAACGTTGTACGATACACGCTCGTTACCTGATCTCTACGTGCTCGCACGGTCATATAACGTGCTCGCACGGTCATATAACGTGCTCGCTTGTGCTCGCACATTAACGACCGTGTTCGCATGTGAAGATCTAGGTAACGGGCTTATAACGTAAACTACTATTTCCTAAACAAAATAAATGCTATTATGGACTCAATGAATATGAAAATAATTTAAAAATAAGGTTATAATTCTTAGAAGGCATAGTGGATTTTACCAGTGTACAGAGCGGAAAAAATCCAGTAAAATGATGTAAGCAAGTCAAGAATTAAAAATTTGACTTAGTGTGTTTTGCTTGTAAACTGACGATTTGGTCGGTATGACGTTTGCGAGCACGCGTGTTATGAAGTGGTTATGAATAAGCACGTACGAGTACTACGTCTGCTTTAACTGTTGCGACACTACAAAATAAATTTAACTCAACAATGTTCACCATCCGACCAATAGCAATGAGGATATCGACGAGAATCAAAATAAAGATGTAGTAGCCTCGGTGGTAGCATATACAAAAAAATCTCATAAAAATCCTTTTACGACTGGACTAATACCTCTTGACGTATACATGCACGTGTGTTTGTTTACATCGCAGGTGCGTTTTCGTTGTTTGAATTTTTAAAGTAGAAACTATAGTAACTAAGTATTTATCGCGTCTTTTTAGTCAATGAAGATTCTAAGAAGTACTAGATGTTTTGCTGTAAAATTATTTTAAAGTTATTTACGATTACAATTTTTCAAAAAAAAAATGGCATGTAAATATTTCGCCTTTATTTATTAATTGGTTTTAATAGTAGGTATACTAAACAAGGTGGCAATTTAACCTTCACCTGGCCTCGTGGGGTACGAACATACCCCCACGCTCTTTCTCGTCAATTTTCGATATCTAAATCTTCGAGATCGAAACTCGTAACGATATCTATTGGTAGTCAAGGGATATACTTTTATATTTGGGCCAGTGGGATAGCGCTCTAAAAATAAATACCTTTTTTTAAAGACCCATGAAAACATTTATTATTCTTTTATAGTGATGTAACAGCTAAAATGTCAGCCCTTTTTATTGAAAAACAAAAAAGTTATGATTTTTTTTTGTAAAAAACTTATTGTTTTAAGTTTTTATGAACGCTGATCTTTATTTTTTTAACTCTGACTATTCTACAGTTTAAAGTGGTATCTAAAGAGGATCCTTGAATTTTTTTGAGACAAAATTATCAATATTTTAATTTTTACTGCGGTTCGTACGTACCCCAGGAGTCCAGGTATTTTACTCAGGATGAGCATGCCATGTGAAGGTTAAATGGCTGCAGCTCCTGAACTATAGATGATGCAGTGGCGGCTTTTTAACAAAACACCTATTGGGGGTTCACAATGCCCTAATATAGATCTCAGTACAAATTTAGGTAAAAAAACTTTCAGTGTTTTAGAAAGGTATATTATAAACACTGAAATTTTACCTAAATCTATATTTTGTCATTGTGAACCCCCCAATATTTTAGTCAGGAGTCGCTACTGGATGTAAGAAAAGTAAAATCCAATAAAAACAATTAGGTATTTTGTAAACATGAACTAGAAATATTTAGTTAATTCAGATAAACATGTGTCATGTGCTATTTAAATAAGTTTTTATTTATTATTTACTATTATTTATGATTGCCAATTTCGTATAAAAGAAGTAAATTCCAATAGGTACTCAGTTTAAATTAGAAATACAGGAAAATGAGAAAAACTCAAAGACAGCGTTGCAGAAACGTCGAATGACCTTTCACCCCCTGAAAACAACTACTCCTTTGGCTAATACAGCAACAGGCATTGTATTAGGTACATCAAAAGGAAAACGGCCAAGATAAAAAATTATTTTCAACTTGATTTTGTTGATGAATCATAAGGACGAATTGGGTACAATATTGACGTTTTCCTTAATAAGCAGATTCAAAGTTAGTGTTGAAAGTAATTTTTTCCTATTTTGACATATAAAGTGACATTTTTGTAATCGCAGTAAATGTCAAAATGATCTACCAACCAGTTGCATAATATTGAATATTATAAAACTGGTTTCAAAAAAATTCATTATGTCAACAGTTGCGCAAAGAAAACAAATAAAAATAAATCTTTTTTGGTTTTAAAATCAATAATATACATTATACATATATATTAATTAATTGGTGGTATAAAATATAGGGTATCCATTTAAAAAATTGAGAAAATCGTTATCCCGCATTTTGACACACCCTGTAAAAAGTATAGCAAATAAATGAAGTCTATTAAAATTGTTTGACGATATGAAAATAATCAAATATGTATAACTACCTACAGGGCGTTTCGCTTTAAAAATGTATAAGTTTGGACAGCCCCTCTTTTATGAACCACCCTGTATATTTAAGAATAATTGTTAAATATGATCAAACAACTTTTATATTAAAAATGTCTTCGTATTTTAAATAATAAAACAGCTATCGATCAATTACGCACTGATATGACACCCTGTATGTGTGTTATTGGCTAACATATTGGTATTGTTATATAGGCAAATTTATAAGGAATTTTATGTTAAAATAATATACAGGGTGTTACATTTAAAAAAAATGAGTAAATTGAACTTAAAATTAGCCATATTTTAAACATGTTTCAAAACACTATGTATAAAATAAACCAGTTCTATCACCACTATTCGTTAGTTCAGTATCTTGTAAGTCTGTATTAAACAATTTTGAAATTAAGGTAAACCTACCTAAATTATGATCATTTAATTTGGGGTCATCATTCTCTAATTTAAAAAAAAAAATTATTTGCTTGGCAACACTGTAATATTATTTAAAAACTTTCTAGGGTTGAATACAGTATTACCAAATCATCCTAAAATTAAAATATACGGCGTTCCCTTTAAAAAAATGTACATATTTATTTGCCACGCAAAAACGCAACACCCTGTATATCCAAAAATATTTTTAAAACATGTATTTTTCAAATCTATATAACTTTTATTTGAAACTTTTTTGCGTGTCTATAACACAAATTGAAATATTCAATTACGCACTAATGGGTCACCCTGTATAAAATTTTATGTTCGACCAACTATTATTTTCTCTTTTTCACCTTTTGTGAGTAGGTTATTATAAAAGAAATTCGCGGACGGTAAAGGGGCATTTTACGCCCGCTGAACATATTTATAATCTAGTCTTTATCGCCTGGTCGTGCATAAATTATATTTATTGTAGCTATTATTATAGTGATATGATTTTAGATGGATACAATCTTAAAAATAATAGAAATAAAATTTAAATTGACACTTAACCTCTATTTTTATTTATTGTTTACAAAATTGATTACTAAACGATTATTTAACTAAAATGTTATCTACTTATTTTAGGAATATATTTTAAGA